GCTTTTACTTTTCTCTGCGGAAGGAGGGGGGTCGTGGGGAGTGGGGGTGTGCTACCTTGAGTTGCTCTACAATAGGAAAGGAATTGGAACTGCACATTCTTAGCGAGGCAGAAGTTAACACCTTAAACCACTAGCCGGGATATTAGGAACAAGAATAGCTTGCTTATAAGAAAAACCCCAAAAGCCACATAGCAGGCACATGAAACTAGGGCACTTTGCAAGATACCCGTGACCTGGGGTGAAACACAGGTGATGCAACATTTAGCTATGTAGGGGGCTGAGATCCAATAATCAATGTTATCTGTTATGCATGAATTATGCGACCATCCTTTGACTATAAAAATTGCTGTAAGATTCTCATCGAGGTCCTTGGTTAGCTTTTGAGACAGGGTCCTTATATCTTGGTACTAAAATAAAAGCATAATAATTTTGTACCACATCTTGCGTCCAGTGGCTTATCGGCTTCGATATCAAGCAAGAGCCCAGTTTTGGGGACAACATCATCATATATAAAAACAAAGTTCCATTATTATTTTTTCTCTTTTTGTCAATCGGTCCCAAAAATATATCTGGCTACAGTTGTGTGTTAATCTTTAAAGTCTTGTAAATTAATGTATGTGTTTGAATCCATTTTTTAAAGCTTTTTTACATATCTACTGAGAGTGATTAAAAAGTCCCCTCTTGTTCACATTTTCAGCATAACTATGAAGAAGTACCTTCATGCATTTCAGACAATTTTTCCAGGGTCAAATACCAAGAATGCATCATTTTATAAAAATTAAGATTATAATATTGTGTAGTTCTGGGTCTTTTCATCGGGTACGTTGGTTTTCTTTTGAATTGACGCGTTTTTATCTTTTCCACCGTTATGAGCCACCTTTATTCACCAAAACTGAGCAAAGTGGAAAGAAGACAAAAACAACATTTTATGTCAAAACCTGAATTATTTTTTTAAAATTTTTTAACCTGAATTTAAAAGAAAAATCTTCTGGAACAAAGTGGTAGTGTTCCTCCATCCTTAATTCAGAGATGTCAAATGTGTCTTTTAATAATATACATTTAAAAACAGTCAACATTTCAGTTGCAATGTAATAGCTGCCATTTTGACTTTTCTAACCTACATTGACAAAATGCAAGAACTTTGTTGATTTATCTGCCTTTGACCAAATGAACAGGCAGTATTATCAATGCCTTGGGTAGGCATACTTTATAGCACAAATATTATTTGATGATAGTGTGTTTGTTATGTCAGAGGATGCACTGTGCACACAGAGAATACAATTTGCCTAAAATACAATTTGCGTACAGTGAAAAATATATAGTCGTCGAGGTTAAGGCAAGATAATTCTGTCAGCAGGGAACATCTTTTCAGATTTTGCATTGCAAATTGCAGTTTTTCCTCCAAAGGGAGAGAGAGAATGTATTTCTGCAGAGCAACTGCCCTCTCAGCAAAATTCAGCAGACAATCCTTTTGACTTGAGAAGTTTTTCCAGAAAATCAGGGCAAAATTAGGGTTATCTTTCCTTTTTTTTTTTCTGCGTACAATTTAAAAGTCCCCTTAAGAATTTGCAACTACTTCTTCCACTGTAATTACAAGGTTTGAGAATATAGCCCGGGCTGGAATGTTCCAAATAGAAATTGAGATCGTGCGGGGGGGGGGAAGAAGAACAGTTTGCAACTTCAGCTCATGAAATAAAATATGCCACAAGATTGGAACGACTCACAATATATTATCAATACGTTTTCTTTACAGCGGTTAGGAGATTTGGCTGGAAATGTCCCTTCAAGATCTTTAAGAAAGTTTTCTCTTTCGAATCCCCCCCTTTCATTTTGACGTTGGTATAGTCCTGAAGTATATATTCCCTTGCTTGGCGAGCTGTCTTGGCTCATTTCTGGGGAAGGAGGCTGTGGGTGGTGGTTAGGTCGGACAAATCGCGTTTTATTTTCCTGTCGCGTTAGAGGCCTGTTTCGCAGTTCTTTTAGTTATTTTCGCTTCGTTCTGAAATTAGGTTTTCATTGAGGAAGCCTGAATATCTTATTTATCAAGAAAACATTTTTATACAGCGTTTTCCTACATTCAGTCTCACTTACTGGGAATTTTCCTTAGGTTTTTCTTTCTTCCATTTTTCACTATTTATAAAACAAAAGCTGCCATTGCTGGGATTTTTTTCAAACCCGAATTTGGGTTTTTCTAAACCTTTGGGTTTCTTTCTATGTCTTTTTATTTTAAACTTTCAACCAAACCTACGCTTATTGGGTTTTTCACTTTAAAATTCAACTAAGCCTTTTCTGTACACGTTATCTTCTATGTTAAGCTCCATAAAACAAATTTAGTTCAAAGCTGGTTTACTGGGTTTTTTCTACCTGGGTTTTCTGTAGAATTTTGGTTTGTTTTTTGAGCAGAAAAATTTAGTATTTTTTAAGTAATCCTGTTTTTCAGTTAACGCTGAAAATGCCTGAGGGGGGGGGGGAATTGCAGAACCATTAAAGCAGAATTTGAAAGCAATTCTATTAAATTGGAAAGGAAAAGTAATGGTTCAACTAAGTTTGGAAGCTTTGCAATGAGATATGAAGGAGCTGTTACAGCAAAAACATCTACAGCTGGGACTTCTAATGCTTCTCTGAAAGGCACAAGCTTTTGCAAAACTTCTCAAAGATGGGAAAAAAAACTTCTCAAAGATGAAAAATGGGTTGCTTTAAAATTTACTAAAGGATCTGGGTGGATTTTCAAGAAAAAGATGGACCACATTTAATAAAAATAGCTGCCTTGCAGCTTCTATAAGGGCCTTTCAACATTTCTAATAGAATTTACTGATACACACAGTCCTTAATTCTGTAGCCCAGTTTTTATTTCCTCCAGTTCATTTTGCCAAAATATTTCTTTTTTCCAAAAAACTTTAATCCAGGGGTCTTCAAACTTGACATCTCAGGAATTCTGGGAGTTTGAAGTCCACATATGTGTCTTAAACTTGCTAATTTTGAAGACTTGACTCTGTCAGTTGCTCTTTTTTTTTGTTAAAATTTCCCATTACAATTTTCAGCTCTACTTAATGGCAATTTGCAGTTTTTGCATATGTCCTGGCTTTGAAGAATTTTAAACAAATGGGGAGGGAAGAAATTCAAACTTAAAAGCTAATGAAAAACTATGCTCCGAGGTTTTGGATTGAGTTGCAAACTTACATACGTTTTTTCATGGTTTGCAGTCAGGAGATTTGGTTGGAAATGTTACTACTGTCAGGTTTCCAAGTAACGAAATCCATGTTAAAGGAAAAATAATAGTCTACCTTCAAAAACATTTATTTAGGAAAACATCAAATTGGCCAAGTCTCAAGTTCAAGATTTTTTTAAAAACTTTTCTGTTGATTCCCCTCTTTAATTTTGGAGTTGGTATTGTCCTGAAGTATAAATGTTGCAGAGATGGCCTGGTTCATTTCTGATGGAAAAGAATTGGGGTGGATGGTGATTTCCCCCCAAAATCACTTTTTATTTGTTCTGGGGCCGAGAGGATTTTCTCAAAGCCCTGGGTAGCCATTGTCAAAATACTTTTCATGGTTTGGTAGACTTGCTCTCCATTATTGAGAGTTAAATGCTGGTTTAGTTAAATTAGTTCAACATTAAGAAAAGCCTTTCTAAGTAGGGAAGCTACTGCTGGGATTTTAAATCAAGGTGAAGGTTTTTTTAAAAAAAACTGGGTTTCTTTTACAAATAAATGAAGTAGGCTTTTTCTATACACAACCTTTTCTATTCAGTTACCCCACTGTACATGAAAGAAGAATAACAGTAGTACAAAACTTTGTTTACCTGGGTTTATTACGAGTTTTCTTA